TCACATTTTATACACACTGTTAGCACGCTTTAATATTTCTCATTAATGACGCTTATATTACACCTTTTTATAGCACATTGTTTGTACAGTTTAGCGATCACTCAACAGTTTAAGCACATTTTAGATATATCTCGCTTGAGTTGGGGTACAACATTTATTTAAAAGGTGAGGTAGATTCCATCTTATGTATTGCTTCTCGGCCTATTGCTAAGATCAAAGCAATCCCCTTCGTGGAGTTGACAGTGCAGGTATTTTTCTTGATAAAATACAGTATGTAGGACCTACATTGTGGGTATTTTTTTTTTTAATATTTATTTAATTAATATTATTATAAGGATATTTATATTTCAATTATGTGTAAATTTAAAAGACTTTATAGGTCACCAAAAAGAATCTGTTTTTGTAGGCACACAGGTGGCAAGAAACAGTGTGCAAACAATGTGAAAAATCAAAAGGAGTTCCCTTTAGAACATTGTCCAGTGATTATTCACACTTTTAAATTTTTGGTTGTGCACATTGTTTCATTGTTTTCCACCTTCCGCACATCATTTTTTTTTAAGATTGCACATTGTTGGCACATTGTTCTCAAATAATTTTGCACACTTTTTGCAACTTTCATTTTCGCCAGGGGAACGCACAAGCACATTAACAACCGATAAAAACATGGAAAAAGTGGAAAAAATGGTTAAAAACCATCAGAGAAGTCGCTGATGATGTTGGTATATCGATTGGCTCATCCCATGAAATTTTTTCAAATGTTTTGGGTATGAAACGCGTGGCAGCAAAATTTGTTCCAAAATTGTTAAATTTTGAACATTTTTGGCCAAAAACAATACACTCTCTAAAAATGAATTAGTCAAAAATAACTAATTTAATAGTTAATAGTGGCTGCTTTTTCACTTGTGCCATGGTTAACCATCGAATATCAAGGTATCCCAAAATTTAATAGCCATTTCTTATGTAAAATTCTACTCTGAATCCGAAAAAAAACGTCAAAAATTATGAAAGTGGAGCAGTTTTTGAGATATAGTCAATTCCATATTAAATGGAAAATTTGCTATATCTCAAAAACTGTTCTACTTTTTTAACTTTTGAAGACATTTTCGGATTCAGGGTACAATTTTACATAAGGATTGGCTAATAAATTTTGGGATACCATGGTATTCGATGGTTAACCATGGCACAAGTGAAAAAGCAGCCACTATTAACTATTAAATTAGTTATTTTTGACTAATTCATTTTTAGAGAGCAGTTATGATGCCCCAAGCCTCCATATTCGTCAGACATGCCTCTGTCTGACTTTTTCCTATTACCAAAAATAAAGAGAACCTTAAAGGGAAGTCGTTTTGCAAGCATAATCGTATAATCACATGAACGAGTATCACAATATTTTACTTTTTTAAATTTTTCAAACAAACTGATGTTCTTTACAAAAAACATTAAACATTGATAAATATAGACGCCACTAACTGTAAGTATTTTCAGTTTTCTTAATTTATCTCTACATGAGGTTCTTGAAGATAAGCCTAACATTCTTCTAACTATTCTTTTTTGAATAATGAACACATTTTTAATATCACTGCTACTTCCCCAAAAAATTACACCAAAACTCAAAATTGAATTAAAATTTGCATGGTATAAAATCTTTAGAGTTGTTAACCAATCTGATTTTTATAATAGTGATTATTTCCCCTTATTATAATATGAACCAATCAAAAGCCTTGAATTTTCGAATAAATTTAGTTTAAATAAGCGATTAAATCACTAGAACTATTTAATAGCGATTAAATTTTAGCCTCCATATTGGATTTTTATTTACGATTTTATGGTGTTATTTATAAGTTTTAAAAAACATTTTTTTTAAAAAACAATAAAAAATAAGTTATCTAGTTTACGAAATATCAATTATTACTTATTACATACCTTAAATTAATGGAATTTTCTTTAAAAAAATATTTATAAATTTTGAAACATACGTCAGATTTTATGAATTGTCAAATAGTTTCCTTTAATTCGAGAAATAATCTAGACGTATATCACTTAACCTATAAATTTAATCTGTCAAACTATGCTCAGTAAGTTTTTTATTTTATTTTTTTTTTTGGAAAAGTTTCATGCAAAATAATTAAAAATAAAACTACTCGACCGCTACGCGGTCTCGTGATTTTATTAAATTATTTTGCATTTAACATTTTTCAACAAAAACCAAACAAAAAACTACTGAGCCTAGTTTAGCCGATTAAATTCATAGAGCTCGTGATATAATATATGATTATTTCCCTCATTACAATATGAACCAATCAAAAGCCTTGAATTTTCGAATAAATTTCGTTTAAATAAGCGATTAAATCACTAGAACTATTTAACAGCGATTAAATTTTAGCCTCCATATTGGATTTTTGTTTACGATTTTATGATGTTATTTACAAGTTTTAACAAACATTTTTTAAAAAACAATAAAAAATAAGTTATCTAGTTTACGAAATATCAATTATTACTTATTACATACCTTAAATTAATGGAATTTTCTTTAAAAAAATATTTATAAATTTTGTCACAAACGTCAGATTTTATGAATTGTCAAATAGTTTCCTTTAATTCGAGAAATAATCTAGACGTATATCACGAGAACTATAAATTTAATCTGTCAAACTATGCTCAGTAAGTTTTTTATTTGATTTTTCTTTTTGGAAAATAGTTTCATGCAAAATAATTAAAAATAAAACCCCTCGACCGCTACGCGGTCTCGTGATTTTATTAAATTATTTTGCATTCAACATTTTCCAACAAAAACCAAACAAAAAACTACTGAGCCTAGTTTAACCGATTAAATTCGTAGTTCTCGTGATATAATATATGATTATTTCCCTCATTATAATATGAACCAATCAAACGCCTTGAATTTTCGAATAAATTTCGTTTAAATAAGCGATTAAATCACTAGAACTATTTAACAGCGATTAAATTTTAGCCTCCATATTGGATTTTTGTTTACGATTTTATGGTGTTATTTACAAGTTTTAACAAACATTTTTTAAAAAACAATAAAAAATAAGTTATCTAGTTTACGAAATATCAATTATTACTTATTACCTACCTTAAATTAATGGAATTTTCTTTAAAAAATATTTATAAATTTTGACACATACGTCAGATTTTATGAATTGTCAAATAGTTTCCTTTAATTCGAGAAATAATCTAGACGTATATCACTCAACCTATAAATTTAATCTGTCAAACTATGCTCAGTAATTTTTTTACTTGATTTTTCTTTTTGGAAAATAGTTTCATGCAAAATAATTAAAAATAAAACCCCTCGACCGCTACGCGGTTTCGTGATTTTATTAAATTATTTTGCATTCAACATTTTCCAAAAAAAACCAAACAAAAAACTACTGATCCTAGTTTAACCGATTAAATTCATAGTTCTCGTGATATAATATATGATTATTTCCCTCATTATAATATAAACCAATCAAAAGCCTTGAATTTTTGAATAAATTTCGCGATTAAATCACTATAGTGATAGAACTATTTAACAGCGATTAAATTTTAGCCTCCATATTGGTTTACGATTTTATGGTGTTATTTAGAAGTTTTAACAAACATTTTTTAAAAAAACAATAATAAATAAGTTATCTAGTTTACGAAATATCAATTATTACTTATTAAATACCTTAAATTAATGGAATTTTCTTTAAAAAAATATTTATAAATTTTGACACATAGGTACGTCAGATTTTATGAATTGTCATATAGTTTCCTTTAATTCGAGAAATAATCTAAACGTATATCACTCAACCTATAAATTTAATCTGTCAAACTATGTTCAGTAAGTTTTTTATTTGATTTTTTTTTTTGGAAAAGTTTCATGCAAAATAATTAAAAATAAAACTCCTCGACCGCTACGCGGTCTCGTGATTTTATTAAACTATTTTGCATTTAACATTTTCCAACAAAAACCAAACAAAAAACTACTGAGCCTAGTTTAACCGATTAAATTCATAGTTCTCGTGATATAAAGGGTGTCCCATTAAGACCGCATATTTTAAATTTAGTGTCATTTTTTTTATGTCAGTCGTACAACGTTGTTGTTGGACAGTGGTCATGTATGAACATTGAGGTTAAGTCATGGAGATTTACACAGACGCACAACGCATAGAAATTGTAAAAATCCACTATCGAAATGGTGAGAATTTTTCGGAAACGGTTTGAAGATATCGTGGATTTTTTGGTCACCATAACCTCGCCGTACTGTGGTCCGATTATAATCGAGCAATTTGAAACGATTGGGTCAATTAAAACCAAAAAGAGACATATCCATGTTCGTGCAGCTCGGTCTGCTGAAAATATTGCAGCAGTTAGTGAAAGTGTTGAACATAATTCTTCCACCTCGATTTGCCACCGTTCCCATCAATAATTGATGGGAACGGTGGCAATTATTGAGACTCTCTCGAAGCAGTTTACAGCGAATTTTGGCCAAAGACCTGCATTTTCTTGTGTACAAGATTCGGTTGACACAATATTTAAAGACAGCAGACCATGCACACCAACGAAACCATGGAATTATTGAGGACAAAATTTGAAGGCAGAGTAATCTCTATGCGATTTGACGCCGTTAGATTTCTTTCTTTGGGGTTTTTTGAAGGAAAAGGTTTATGCTAATAACCCAAGAACAGTTCCTAAACTAAAACATGAGATTCGATGGGTCATTGATGAAAATTTTGTCAAAAGAATCAACATGTGCCGTCAGTCACGAGGCGGCCATTTATCGGATATTGTATTCCATATTTAACCTCCATGTCTTCCCTCTTTATTGCAATAAAAATATCTTAACTTTTTAAATAAACAAGGCATTTTTTTAAATTTTAAAATAGGCGGTCTTAATGGGACACCCTTTAATATATGAATAAATTGTTTTTTTAATTAGTCATTTTTGAATAACTTTACAAAAAATATTCGAAGTTATAGTAGAAAACGTAATTATTCTTCTATTCTAGTGATGCAGCCCCGTCTTCGCAATCGGTGTCGTCCAAGTGGGAGCTCTCCTGGCCCTGGTACCTGGCCAGCTCGAGGAACTACGTGGTCGCGAAAATTGACGCGCGCGGTTCCGGTTTCCAGGGCGTGAAGATGAGGCGCGAGGTGCAGCGCCGCATCGGCCTCATCGAGGTGCAGGATCAGCTGGCCGTGCTCACGTATCTGAGGGACACGTTTAAATACATCGACAGGGCCAAGATTTGCACCACGGGCAGAGGGTACGGGGGTTACGTGTCCGCCATGATGCTTTTGCAGGACTTCCATCAAGTTATCAACTGTTCTGTCAGCATTTCACCGATTACCAATTGGAAATATTACAGTAAGTATTAACTTTATTTTGAATTTTAGAAAATTACGTAGGTAGGTAGTAGTAGCCCAATAAACATTTTTATCTCCACGCGGTCTATAATTTAAACTTTATTGTTGTCAACATTCTATAAAAAATACCTTGTTATGGCCTAGGCCGATAACATTTTTTATGAGGCAAGTAATTAGTTCGATTTTTTTCTCGCTAGGGGACCCCTAGCGAGAAAAAATCTAGTAGGGGTATTGTTTTGACAAATTAATCCTTTTCTAAGAAATTAACGTACTAAACTGGTTTAATTTATTTATAATAAGCACTAATTTGTTTGTTTTACTGTTAATGTTTAATTTTTTTCATTAAATTATTGTAAAATTAAATATGAATAATAAAACAAAAAGTGAGGTTAGGCAAACAAGAAAACGCACGATTCTTTTTCTACGATTTAAATTATCTTTAAGTTTTAATTTGCTTTAAGTTTTCAGTGAAATTAAATGTTAAACACAGCTTAAACATTCCAAACTACCTATTTTTTAAATAAAAATCCAAACAAATTGAAATTAGATACCTACCTACCTATTTATTAAACAATTAATTGAATTCAATGTAATAGCAAAAATCCATTTCTACTTAAATTATATACCTAGCTAGGTATTGTCAAACTATTAGGTACTGCTTCTAAAAGCAATAATAATTATTGTACATTTAATGTAATCTTTAGCTAATAAATAAATGAGATTCTAAAAAAGTGAGGTTAGGCCGCTTTGATGTTGAATTAAATTGACCTATATAAAGTGCTTTAAAGATAAAATGTTGTATGCCATTCGGCCAAGAAGTGCCTTTTTGTGCTTCGCTCAATTGTAGGCCTCCGCTACGCGTCGGCCTTCAAACCTTGAGCTTAGCACAAATAGCCTTACTTCTTAACCTAATGACATAAATAACTATTGTTTTTATAGTGGTTGCCATGGTCGCGCAAAGCTCACAAACTAATGAACAGATTTTTTTCACGATTTATATTTTTGTAGGAAATTGAACGCTCTACAAAAACTGTATCCTAATATTTTTCTATAAACCAAGGAGTTTAAAAGTTATTCAAAGTCAAAGTTAAATTACTGTCATAATTGCATTTTTTACTTACATTTTTTGCAAATTCATTAAAGTTATTAGCAAATATAAAAAAATCATTCAAAAAATCAACATTCTGTTCATTAGTTTGTGAGGTAGAAAATTATAAAAAAACAAAAAAAAATTTCTCATGTTATTTTAACCTCTAACTATTAAAATTAAGAGCTCCGGTTTTCACAGGTATCTTTTTTTGGTACCGTGAAGATATTTCAGTGCGAAATTTCAGGAAAAAAATAGTAATTTTTTTTTAACCAGCCTAATATATACATATATTTATATATTTATACAGGGTGATTGATGGTCGATGGTACGTTAAACGTATACGGAGAACGGTACATAGGAATGATCTGAAAATTTGGTTACTTCAGTTATTGCTCCTGATCTATCGATCTAAAATATTTTTAACGATGCGACGTTGCCGCGTATACAAAAAAGTAGCATCACCGGTGATATTTTAAATGGGACCCCCTATATACCGGGTGTATCTGAGAATAGGCGCACCCCTGTAAATTTTTTATTTATAAAGATAGACACATGAAATTTTGCATGGTTAATTAGGATATAAAATGCCACTTATAAAAGTACAAAATAAATTTTTTGAACTTTTGATTTTTAAATGGAATGCCCTATATATTTTTACATATTTGGAATCCTGGGGAAATTCTGAGTCAGACAGCATCCTCAAATTGACCTTTTGACGTTTCGTCATCAGAAAATGTATCATCATAAATATCAATCTAGAGTGCTTTGAACTATCTTATTTTCTTCCAATGGATTCACACAATGCCCGAAAAATGCCTTAGAAAGTCGTTATTCAGCAGCTGCTATTTCCAACAGTCTAAACTTGTCAAAATTCGTTTTTCTCAAATAGTTCAAAGAACTCTAGATTGATCTTTATGATGATGCATTTTCTGATGACGAAACGTCGAAAAGTCAATTTGAGGATGTTGTCCTACTTAGAACTTTCTCAGGATTCTAAATATTTAAAAATATATAGGGCGTTCCATTTAAAACTCGAAAGTTGATATCATTTCCGGCGATACCGGAAGTTCAAAAAATTCATTTTGTACTCTTATAAGTGGCATTTTATATTCTAATTAACCATGCTAAATTTCATGGGTGTCTTTTTATAAATAAAAAAGTTACAGGGGTGCGCCTATTCTCAGATACACCCGGTATATACGCCACTGGGATTCGTAGAAATTTGGAAATTTTGGGCGTAGTTTAGGAAGGTCCTGTGTATTAGTTCTTAGTAAGAAAATTTGATCTACATTATACAGGGTTACTTAAAAATGAGTTACTTTACTATACCTTTATTTACCTAACTATTTAGGTAGAGGAACATGATATATCATTGGAAGGGGACTTTAATTGGCTTTTAGAATTTTTAATAAAATACAGAGTGTTTTAAAAAAATGCACTTTTCACCAATTTTGTTTCTAGCGGTAAAGTAACTGATTCAGGGTACCCACTCAACTGGAAAACAGGGAAAACCTGGAAATGTCAGGGAAATTAAATATTAGTAAAAAAGTCAGGGAAAAGTCAGGGAATTTGCTGAATTTTACGAAAAGTCAGGGAATTTAACTAATTTTTACGAAAAGTCAGGGAATTTAACTAATTTTTCTTGATTTTTCCGAAAATTGTTTCTATTTTTATTACCGGACGAAGATTATTTTTTACAAATAATATAGCCAGGCATTGAAACTAAAATAAATCATTTGCGCAAATACTTCAAATTTTTTATGAATGTTCTGTTTAATTTTTTTATTATATTTTAAGAAATGTTTAAAAAAATTGTAAAAAGAAAAATAAAATATATTTTTACTTTACATGCTCCACACCTCAAATTCCCACCACGTGACCACGTACGGAACGCAGTCTTTTGAAAATTTGGCATTTAAGGCTTTTCAGGTTATGTATCTGTCAAAGTATAGTCAACGAAAGAAATAATATTATGTTTAGGCGTTAAAAATGTATAAATCTTTATAACATTAGAATAACAATGGATGGTTTAAGAATTTAAGAATATAAATACTGCATTTAATGAAATTCCAAAGTGTATGGTGCCAAATAAGTAATATTTTTGTGCATTTGGTCCAAATATCTGGTTTTCTTCATGAAATAATTTTAACTAAACAGCATTTATTTAAAAAAATCTAGCTTCTCTATTATGGAATAAGAATATCTGTATTAAAGGTAGGTTAATATATTATAACAAAAATATCATCTAATTTTGTAATTTTAAGGTTAGAAAAATTTATTTTGACCAAAATAAATAAGTATTTTGGATTATTTAAAATACTGTATAATATGGTATTTAAAAATGTGGTAGTTTTTCTTATCCAGCTTAAAGTGTACCTACATAAAGTTTTGTCAATACAAATAGTTAAAAAGCTTCAACTGAATTTGATCTACATCAAAAAATCATTATAACTTTAAAAATTTTAATAAATCACATGTCATGGGAGTATTAAATATTTTCACATTGCAAGTTTCTCTAAAAATTGTTTGTTTTCTTATAATCTACATAACTTAAAGTAGGTATGCCGAGAGGTATGCACAAGTTTTGTCATTAGAAGTATACTTCTATAGCTCTTATACGTATAAGAGCTTCATTTTAATTTGAACCATATTCAAAAATTATTTAGTATATACCTATATTTATTTATGACCAAATTAACACACTTTTCCAAGTAATCCACTTATTTATTTTGGTCAAAATAGATTTTTCTAACCTTAAAATACAAAATTAGATGAAATTTTTTGTTCTAATACATTAACCTACCTTTGATATATCAAATACAGATATTCTTATTTCATAATAGAGAAGTTAGATTTTTTTTTAATAATTTCTGTTTAGTTAAAACTATTTTATGGAGAAATGTAGACCCAATGCTCAAAAATATCACTTATATTGTACCTTACACTTTAGAATTTCATTAAATGCAGTATTTATATTCGTAAATTCTTAAACCAACCATGTTATTGTGATACTATAAAGATTTATTAACTTTTAACGCTTAAACATAAGCGGTATCACTATAAATATAATTTCTTTCATTGACTATACTTTGACAGATACATAACCTGAAAAGCCTTAAATGCCAAATTTTCAAAAGACTGCGTTCCGTACTTGGTCACGTGGTGGGAGCATAGTACCTATAATTATTGCTGGAAACTGATGAAAATTGGTCTGGAAAACCTGGAAAAGTCAGGGAATTTTGTTTCATTTTCTTGGTGGGAACCCTGTGATTTTTACCAACCCTGTATAATGTAGATCAAATTTTCTTACTCAGAACTAATGCACAGGACCTCCCTAAACTACGCCGAAAATTTTAAATTTCTACAAATCGCAGTGGCGTAGTAAAAATAAATTAATTGGAGCTATGTTTTCAAGAAAAAATAAAGTAATTAATTTACATTTCGAAAACCACTAGAGTTAGGTATAGGAAAGTTTATACGAAAATATTCAGAATGCAATAACGGATCATAAAATGCAATAATATATAGGGGGTCCCATTTAAAATATCACCGGTGATTCTACTTTTTTATATACGCGGCAACGTCGCATCGTTAAAAATATTTTAGATCGATAGATCAGGAGCAATAACTTAAGTAACCAAATGTTCTGATCATTCCTATATACCGTTACTTGTATCCTTATTTATAAGCAAAAATTCTTACCAATACCATTGTGATATTTTTCCTTAGCCCTTAGTTCGTGCGCGATTTTTATTTATTTTTAAATAAATACGATAAAGTTTAAATTATATACCGATTGAAAATAAAAGAATTTTAATAATCTAATCAATAACCAAAGTTATTTTGATTTTTAATTGAAATTTTACATTGTAAAATTAACAATAAATTAATTTATAAATTGTATAAATACAAGTAGTAGGTAAACTTTGATATTTCAGCAAATCTTTAATTGCAAAATTCTTTTATTCCAGACTCGTATTTCTCAGAAAAATATCTCGGCTTCCCCTCGAAACATATGCAAGAATACGACAACGCCGACCTGACTATGAAAGCAACCAACTTAAACGACAGGCATTTTCTGTTGGTGCACGGCACGGCTGACACAAAAGTTACCCCGGAACATTCTTTCATGCTTGCCAAAGCTTTGATAGACCAGGAAATTCTGTTTCAGCAGTTGGTAAGTGCTTTTCAGTCGAAATTGAATAAAAATTAAAACTCCTCATTTGACAAAATATATCCTTTGCAATTTAAAGAACACTTTTTGAATGGTGCTCAAATAAGATGATTTTGGTAAATGAACCTTATAAATAAATATATTAGCAAGCAATGTTGCAACTAAATATACAGTCAATTTGTTTGCGACTCACCCCTGTAGAATCTTTATTTATTGTGCGATTTTAACCGGATTTGTTTTAAAGTGTAGAAATTGATAAACTGTATTTTTGGAGCAAAAAGCACCCCTCTACCCCATTTACTAAATTTTATTAAAGTTTTGATTTTGTAACTAAATTAAAAATGCACATTAATTACTATGTACAATTACATTTTGCTCCAAAAATACTGTGATCAAGAAATACACAACAAATACATATACAGGGTGAGTCATTTAACTTGAAACTTTGAAATATCTCAGTTAGTATGCATTTTACGAAAAAATGTTTAAAATAAAAATTAAATGATTCGAGGGGAGAAATCAATCAGTACTAAAATTGGTCCTCATACTCTCCTCCTTATAGGGGGAACAGGGGGGTAACTTTAAAATTTTTAATGGAACCCCCTATTTTTTATTGCAGATTCAGATCTTTCGACTAAAAATAGGTAATTTTGTCTAAAACATTTTTTCGTATTTGTAATAGATGGCGCTGTAATGAAAAAAAATCAATTTTGTTCGATTTTTCTTCTGTATACGATTCTCCAAAAATTTTTATATAAAAATATCACTTTTTTGGCAATAATTTTTTAACTAATATTTAAGTTTCCTTTGGTTTAAGTTTTATACATTATTTCATTCGGTGATAATTATCAATTGCGCACCATGGTCACTTTTTACCTACCAGCATTAAAGGATTGTTGTACTATTTTTAATAAAAAATTCCTCATTTAAGGTAAAAAAACATTATTTTTACAATTAATTAATTTAATCCTTATTGAGGTATAAAAAAATGGTATTTAGTTATAAATGATAATTATTATTGAGGTATAAAGAAACTATTTATAGTTTAGGATTATTTAATCAATTTAGTTCGAAGATTAATTTGCAAACAAAAAGACCTTCTTTCGTTTTTTAACAGTGCAAGAAAAAATAGAAATGATTTTGATTTATGGAGAAGCAGGCAGGAATCTTGATGATGCTGTTAAGATCTACGCTCAGCGTTTTCCGGATAAAATTCGATCACGTACTTCATTTCACCGTACAGTCAAGCAGTTTACTACAAACGGGAGTGTTCAAACGAAAAAAGAGTTCGTCAAGCAACAGTCACAGTTGGAAATAATAAAATTATTGTATTAGCAGCAACGGCCGCTAATCCTCATGCCAGCACACGAGAATTAACTAGAGATGTGGGAATATCCCAGAGCAGTTTTAGCCGAATATCAAAACGAAATGCGAATTAATAAATGCATTGAAGTCGAAGGCCACCATTTTGTGCTCCAACTTTAATTAAAATTTAAAAAATAAATAAATAAATATAAAAATAAAACCAAGTATTTTATTCAAAAATTATTGGAGTATCGTATACAGAAGAAAAATCGATTTTTTTTTTCATTACAGCGCCATATATTACAAATATTACATATTTGGAATCCTGAGGAAATTCTGAGTCAGACAGCATCCTCAAATTGACCTTTTGTTGTTTCGTCATCAGAAAATGTATCATCATAAATATCAATCTAGAGTGCTTTGAACTATCTTGTTTTCTTCCAATGGATTCACACAATGCCTGAAAAATGCCTTAGAAAGTCGTTATTCAGCAGCTGCTATTTCCAGCAGTCTAAACTTGTCAAAATTCGTTTTTCTCAAATAGTTCAAAGAACTCTAGATTGATCCTTATGATGATGATGATTTTTTTTTCATTACAGCGCCATATATTACAAATATGAAAAAATGTTTTGGACAAAATCTACCTATTTTTAGTTGAATGATCCGAATCTGCAATTATAAATAGGGTGTTTCATCGGAAATTTTAAAGTTACCCCCTGTTCCCCTAAGGGGAATCCCCTTATAAGGAGGAGAGTATGAGGACCAATTTTAGTACTGATTAATTGCCCCCCTCGAATCATTTCATTTTTATTTTAAAAAAAAATTTCGTAAAATTTATACTAACTGAGATATTTCAAAGTTTCAAGTTAAATGACACCCAAATACATAACAAATCCAGTTAAAATCGAACCATAAATAAAGATTTTACAGGGTCACAAGCAAATGGGTCTCACTCTATACGAAACTAAAGATTTTTTCATATTGTTTACATGTTTATCATAGGTATACCGCTGAACTTTTCCAGCGATAACGTCAAAATGTTTACAAAAATCAGAGTTAAAAAAGTAAACACTTACCTTAATACATGTGCAAAAAATAACTATAATATCACAATATAATCATTTTGATGTAATCGCTGAAAAACTTCATGGTATGTTGAAGATGTATATTTTTTATTTTGGTGAGGTCAAAAATTATATTAATTTAAAGTGAACTTTCAAAAAAGCCTCTGGGTTAATTTTAGAAAATATTATATTATGTATACAGATTTGACAATCGCCATTTTAGTCATGAATTTAATTAGGCACGAGCGAAGCTTTCGAGCAAGTGTTTCATTAAAAGAAAAAGAAAAGTATATAAACGAGTTGGATACTATACTTTTTCTACGACAAATATTTAAAAAAATGTTTTACTAATTAATTTAAATATTTGTGTAGAGCGACATCAATACAAAAACAGTGTAACCAAATTGGTCTTTTGACCAGCTTTTAAAATAGCAATTTAAAATTTTTCTCTAAAATTCAAATTTATTCCTTAAAAATGGACCGTTTAAATCCAACATAGAAGCAATTTTTTTCAGAGAAAATAATGTTTTTAATGCTTTATCGGCAAATCAAAATGTCAATACAAACGTGTCAAGAAACTATTAAATAATTAAGTGTTTTTGCATTGAGATAATAAAATAATTTCCATATTTACTATTATTTCACAAGAATGGCACTTTACTTTGACAATTGTATGATATTTGACAACTGTCAACTAACTTAAAGCTAACTTTAGCCTGTGACTAAAAAGCCCGAGAGCCACTGTTGCTAACTTCAGCCCGATACTAAATCGTCATAACGTCACAGCTTGTCATGGAATCATGTAAGATGATGTGTGTTATTTCCTTTAAATGCAAATGCATACCAAATTTATTATAATTTATTTAAGAAATTTTGACTACCCAGTATAACAATAGATTATATTTAGCAAAAAGAAATTTCGTAATTTTGTCTCGATTGTTTTTTACTAGAATATACGCTAAAGAAGTATCGCTAGTAGCGCCACCACTCGGTTGTTATCATCATAACAAAAGTATAACTTTTAATAATCAGCTTATGTTACAATCGAGTGTTTTTCAGAATACAAAAGAAAATGTTAAAAAATATCTAAAAAAACCGTGGCTCGATTTGTTGTGTTGTTGGGTGTATTTCGAGAGGAAATCCTGGGTTGAGTTTTTACCGGTTTTCCAATAAACAGTGTTAATCTGAATGAAGAAATAAATTGCCTAGTCTCTGTAAATATAAATTGTACCTATTAGATACAATAAATATACATTTTTGTAGTGATTAACGTGAAAAGTGTAAACATTTTAATTCAGTAATAATCGTCAAACAAATAAGTCGTCTAAATTTAAACAGCATTTAGCATTATTAAAAGCGTGGTTTAAGAATTCTTTAAAGTCTCCACTCAACGGTAAAATACCATTATATCGAGGGCGTACAAGGAAAATCGGCTGTCCTCAATTTATAGTTTTGAGAAAAACGCATTTTAAAACTAACCTGAATGCATAAAATCGATTTTTTATTTTAAATATTTTAAATTACATTAATATAGATCTCTTATGAAATTAAAAGTAATTATTGATTATTAAATGAAAAACATATTTAAATGAACGATTTTATTTGTATTTTTGTTATAAACATTTGGACTTAAAGTATTTTTCCTGTTAGTTTTCAATATAAATTTGGACTTAAAGTAATTTAACCTGTTACAGATTTGCATTTTTTTTGCTAAATTGGACAAAGGTTCGTCATTGTAGTCTTCAGCACTAGGCTCAGCAGTCTTATCTTTAACATCTTTGCTAACAGGCAGAGATTTGTACAAGCCACTACTAAATGTAGGTACTTAGTGGATTCTTAGTGTTGAGTATTACAGAAATATGGACTTAGTCAAAATACAGATAGTTACAGACCCCATAATATGCGCGTTTGGACTATTATAGCAAAAGTGGACTTAGCCGATTTTCCTTGTACGCCCACGATATTATGTATTATATATAATATTATGTTATTTAAAGTGCAGTTGTCGGCGTTTTTTAGAAAACTCAAACATAAAAATGGTTGATTTTTATGTTATGTTTGTGCAAAAATTGTTTTTTACTAATTTTTTAAAAATGTCCATACTAATATAAATTATATTAGGTAAAGTTATAATTAGTTAATTCTGCACCAATAAATGTACTTACCGAATTGGTAAAAAATGAAAATGCAACGATTTAGTTCTTGAATTTTATTTTCATTTAAAAATACAATAATTCACCATTTATGATCCCTTTGATAAAATACACACACTAACGTAACTATATAAGCATTTAAGAGTTGAGTTTCTTAATCAATGATATAAGGAATAATCAATCGAAATCGAGTACTAAAAAAGTTTTTTAATTTTTTCCTTGCAACGTAAAACACAAATAAAGTGCGCGATTTAGCTATGCAATAATTGAACAAAATTTTTCGAGTAAGACTTCCTTTTCTTTTGTAAAAAAAACTACCTATTTATTTAAAAATGAGGTATAATCTGTGCTTTAAATGTATTATTGACAATTCTTAATTCACGCAATGCATTCGTCCACCAGAGGCGCGCGCGTTGCGAAAACCCGATACTTCTTTAGCGTATAAGTGTGTTAATATTGTAATTAATAATTTTGTTAATAT